TGAAGTACACGGCAGACAAAGAAAACAATGGGACTCAGAGGCCAAGGCGATCCAACTGGAAAACAGAAGGCTGGCGAAGGGAGTAATCATGGGATTCAATTCCAAGGAGAGTGGCTTTGAGAACAGCAGGTAGCTAACTCCTTAGGAAGTAAGAGAGAGAATTTTACAGTTACAGTCATGGAATTTGGGTGTGCCTCAGCAAGGTACAGCTACACAGTGGCCTGTTTGACCCTCTGGACAGCAGAGGGACAGAGCTGATAACCATCTGCCAGGGTTCATCTCCGCCCCCACAGCTATTTATAGTATATAATTCATAGTGTATATAGGGAGTGTAATTGTCAACGGAGTAGAAAATTCTTGGTATCTTGGCTTCTTCAGCCGAGAATCAGAACTAGCAGGGGTGCCAAAGACTCTGTAAATCTGTACAAACTCAACAACGTCCCATCTAAGAGTCTGGCCTGGGGTGTCTCATAGGGTCAGTGACCTTTAAAACCAGTGCGGAAGTTTGACTGTCTTTCAAATAGGAGCAGAATAAAGTTGGTTTGTGGATAGTTTTTGCTGTAAGACTCCCCAACCTCAGGTTCCTTGTCTATAAAATGATAATAACAGAGAATTACCTTGAGAACCAAGCAAGACAGAAGACAGGCAGCCCCTCCTGAAAGCAGGAGATGGTGGCAGACAGGAGGGGATGACAACTGTATGTATAGGAGTATGGGGTCCCCACAGGAGGTACTGACAAAGACCTACCACATGAGGAACATGTTGGTGGATTGTCATGTCATTATTGATAACAGAGGAAATGGGGTAATAATATAAACTTGTACAAAGATCTCTCATTTTGTAGAAATAGTATCAGGCCATGGATGCGCACCAAAAATGCCTAGAAGAAATATGGTCATAAGGAATGCAAATGTTATAGAAGATGGAACAGACTCTTGGAGACTGATTTGGAGGAAGGGAAGGATTGCTACGCCACACTCAGGTAGCTACCCTGTATCCCAGGGCACTGTGAAGCTGTGGCCATCAGAGCCATTCCTCGGGAAGTGGCTGAAGGTGGGAGTGGCAAGATCACAGATGTTCTGTAGTTACTGCTGATCAAGCTCTTTGCCATCTGAGCCCCAGCTCCTCCTTCTCAGATCCACTTAGATGTGCGGCAGAACCACCTTCTCAGGGTGGTCCAGCTTTTCATACAGCATCTGCCTCACAGATTGTCTGATACCCACACCTGTATCTTCCTTTGCTGGAATCCCTGCTGTGCTGTTGTGAGCCATTGGAGCTGAGTTTGAGTGATGACTGATGAATTCTGCTCAGGGGACAGATTTAGCCTAATAGAACTGACACACAAATTCCCCAGTTAAATAGCGGCTGCCAGGTTTGAGAGAGCTATCGCTCTGTTTTGCTTTGAACTGAGGGACAGTAACAAGGGAAGAGCCTATGCAGGTGTCAGAAGAGCTAACCCATCATCCAGCTAGTCCTCCCAACTTCTGGAGGAATCTCTTATGGATTCCCTGACTATTCAGGGCTCAAGTTTCTCTCCAATAGAGCTGAAGCCGTAAGAGTGCTGCATAGAGAGATCTCAATTATGTTACTATAAAATGTCAGCTCTTCTATAACAGTATGCCATATAGGAAAAGCTTAAGTTTACAAACAAATATGTCAAGAATGTCTCAGGGGGACTCATGTCTGGCAGCTGCATCCATATCACCAGTCATCTTACCCAACACATTCAATCTGCCAGCACATGCTGAACATCCTCCATGATCCAAGCATTGGCAGATACATCAAGATGTGAGGCTAGAGGTGGCTCTTGGGAAACCCAGTCACCTGGAAGAAAGAACACTGAAAAACAAAATAATTCAGCTTTTCACGGAGCTGTATAGAGGACTCACCCCACTGACAGTCTCCCATGTACAGACCATGAATAGGAAGAAATATAAAGAAGAGTGCCCCCTGTTGTATCTCCAAAGAGCCTTGAGGTTAGATAGCATCTTGATGTTTTACACTCAGTAACAGTCAAAGACGTCTCCTCTAGTAGCCAGTGTGGCCCAATCACCTTCAGGTCCCCTTCTTCACTTCTCTGGGATCCCTGGACACTCAGTGTGTACATTATTAAAAACTTGATTCTATAGGATCCATGATGTCTACTCTACTTTAAAATGGTGACTGTCTTATAATCTAGGAGGAGATTATATAAAAAGGACCGTCTTCTTCCATAGCTTGGGAGAAGTAGGGCCGAGAAGTCTGTCTTTAAAACAAAGGCCTTGCTATTAAAAGAGCAAAGAAAGAGTTATTAGAACACCCGCATACATACCTTCCCCACTGGGGTGTTAAACATTGTCTTGGTGAACAAGGTGACCCACATCTGTCTTCCTGGGAACAAAGGGTACAAGGACCCTGACATAAAGCCACTGAGCTAGGGCCCTGTGCCCTTCCCCATTATCTCAGGTCCTCACTGGCCCTTCCAATGCTGACACCCATGGCACCTACCTAGGCCCCGCCTAGGGGAGGACAATGCACAGTTGTCTGATCAGTTAACAGGTCTTTTTATGCCATTTTCATTCAGACTTTGTTTTGTGTAACTCCCCTTACCATGTGTCTCTCCCTCTCCCTTATGTTCCCATACCCTTTATCCACTGTACTCTATTTCCCTCTCATTTGCCCCCCTGTATTGCCCCCACCCACTCACATTGCCCCCCCCCAAGCCTCTTTTTTTCTTCTCTCAAGGGACTCTTTCTGGTTTACTAGTCTTTATCAACATTTATTCTTGTCCAGATGCATGACTAGACTCTAGAGTGCACGTGAGAGACAATGCACTATTTGCTTTTATGTGGTTATCTTGAATTATATGGTTTTAAAACATACAAAACATAAAAACAGCCCAAGTTGGAGGTTACCCTCAAGGAGTAGCAAAAAGGACCCTGAAACAGGTCAGTGTATGAGAAAGCCCTTCCCACTCTCATTTGCTTCTCCATAGAGAAGGCAGCTATTGGAAGCCGTTGCAGCATGAGATACTGGCCCTTGGCTCATGTTAGTATGATGCCAAGGAGCATCATGGACAGCCCTTGAACCAGAAGGACAGTTGGTCAAATCCAGATCACCTGGTTCCAGCTCCTGTCAAGCAAAACAAGGCTCTTCTGGTGGCCTCAAGGCCCCTCCTAGGACAGCTTAGGGTACTTGTCCATGGCCATAATGACTGAAGTATTAGCAAATTCAGATCGGAGCCATCTGCACAAGAACAAGGTTCTTTACCACTCACTGGGTATCCCTGGGCCAGGCTGAAAGGTCTGCCTCAATTATGGTGGTTTTTAAAGTTCCTTATCAGAATGCTTCTGGGTGATATTTTCATGTAACCTACACATCATCTTGAGACTCATTATAATACCCAATGCCATATAAATTCTATGTAAATTCTATGTAAATTCTATGTAAATAGCTGTTACACCATATTGCTTAGGAAATGATGACAGAGATAGAGGCCTGTCTGTGAATGTTCAACACAAATACATGTTGGTTTTTTTCTGAATATTTTCAATCCACAGTGGGTGGTACCTGTGAGTGCAGAATGCACAGGCAGAACTGACAGACGGTCTGTTGTTCTCTACCATGGTTTAAAATGGTTCACTGAAATAAAATTTGCATGCCAGTTTATACTAAAAGCCCTATGGTTTTTAGAATATTCACAAAATGATGCCACCAGAGTTCATCTACATACAGAACATTCCACAACATTTGAATGGAACCTGTCTGTGTCCCTTGGCCCTCCTCACCCATGATTGTTCCCTCTGACCTTTCAGAGATCACCCAATTTCTCTCTTTGCATGATCTTCTAGTCACAAGCCTACTCAAACTGAGAAGCCTGGCTTGGCCTCACCTGTCATTCAAAAGGAGATGCAAGAACTATGCTGGCCGCTGATCAGAAGTACTCATTAGCTTCAGAGAGGTAGAGGGAGGATTGGAGTCACCTTGGAGAAGAGGGCTGAGCCAGCACTGGCTGAGTGTCCTAGCAGGCCCCTTCTGACTTGCTCTGTGCTTCAGGGGTCCCTGCTGCTGCACTCTGGTAGTGTCTGGCACTCTCATGGGCTCCCTGACATCAGAGCTCTACAGTGTGTCTCAAAAAAGCTGGCAGGGACAATCGGTTGTGGGATGAGGACAAGAAGTCACATACACCCAAGGACTCTGAGCCCATTGGCCCTGAATAGGCTAGCAGACTTCTGCCCATTGTGTGAAGACTTTCCAGGTTCAGTGTGTCATTCTCTCCTAGGCTGTCTTCTTTTCCTATTTTAGGAAATAAAACACACTGAGTCTTCAGCTTGGAGCCAGAGCCTTTTGTCGTTCCCATCAACACTGCCCAGGGTGACATGCTCCTATGCAGAGCACGCAGTGGCAGAATATTTGTAAAGCTAGGTGACAAAGACAAGGAAGGATATAACCTTGATTTGCACAAGAACATATGCTCCACAGGGCATTCAAATTACACTGTATCCATGAAATTGCACTGCACATAGGAAGTTGGTGCCATGTGTTGGAGGTAGCCATTAGTCATTCCCTGCCAGTGGAAAGCGAAGGTCCTCCATGCATATGGACCATCCTTCCTTCCCCTATCTTCATTGACAATAGGAAGATGGTGGATACTGCACAGGAGGAATCTTGGTCCAGTTTTCTCACTCAAGCATGCCAATGGCAAGCCATGCCGGAGGAGTAGAAGAGATCTAACAAGACCTCAGGTTGGCTGTGGTGGCCCACGCTAGGGGGGCAGCCACCTCTGGTACTCCCTTAGTGATCTGGCTGCCAAGAGCCATTTGCTTTTCAAGAGATGTGCTAGGTCACCATCCGTGGGGACTCTGAGACCACACCAACTCAGTGTCCTGTTGCTTCTCTTAGTTGTTGGCAGTGGGGACAAGCTGAGCAAGGAGGCTTCCTACAGAGTCCAAGCTGCTCAGTCCAGTGTCCCCAGTAAAACAACTAAAGGCCACTCTATCAGCAGAGTCTTCTCCCTACAGGAGAGCACCTGGCCATACCTGTTCGGAGTGATCATTGTCCCTGCCTTGGTCCAGCTGGCAAGCCTGCCATTTCTCCCTGAGAGCCCACGCTACCTCCTCTTTGAAAAGCACGACGAGGCAGGAACCATGAAAGGTAGGGTCCTTCCCTTTCATTGCACAATGCCAGCCTATGCCTGGGTCACAGCTAGATGCTATAGGGTGGAACAGGGCAAGCGTCAGCATCTCTGAATGCTAAGGGACACTTACTCTCTTCACCTCCCCAGCTACAGTCATGGTTCAGATAGCAGAGGCTCTCCGGTGTGAAGAAGGCGGGTGAAAAGAGCCTAAGAGGCATGATTCCAGAAAGCAATTGGGCTTGATGGAAGAAATGGAGTCCTCCTGTGGCAACATGATACAGCCTGACTTGGGAGAACTCCTCTCCACCTGCCCAGCTAAGGAAGCACCCTTGGGAGGAGCTTCGATTACATATAGTCAGAGTGGGCGATGTGGGATGCAGTGAATGAATGAGATTCCAAAGTCTTATTTCACAGCCCAGTAGGAATGTGTGTCTATGTGTGTTTGATATACACTTATTAAATCATCATACATGATAAATGCTATGCCCACACCTGGTAAAAAAGAACAAAGATAATGAGATCATGGCTTGAAACATGATACTGAGATTTGCATTCCTATCAACAACAGTACCAATTTCACTCCAGATGTTCAGCAAACGATTGTTTTTGACATCTTGAGTGTTCTGTCAGGCAATGGGAAAGACAGGATCATGAGATGGCATCCCTGCCGTCTTGGAGTGACTGGAGTGGTTTATTAGAATGGGCAGGCATGTCTGAGGATAGAGAGTGTAGGTGGTATCCTGCTTGCCTAGCATGTGTGAAGACTTGGGTTCAATCTCCAGTTTCCCTAACAGAACAGAAATAGAAAACAAAACTCCAGGTGTGGTGGAGCATGCATGTAAACCTCATGCTCTGAAAACTGAGGCAGGAGTGTTGTTTTTAAAAAACAAAATCCCAAATGTTCAATTTTACCAATGAAGACTCAGGAGCCAGATGTTGGGGTGAAGACTTGCTAGTCCAGAAAGAGACAGAAAGCACCCAGCTGACCACTCTACTCCACAAACACCCTAGGAGGAAAAAGCTCTCTCTTCTTTTCCATGCTCTCTTAAATACCCTTCAACTCAATGTCCCTCCTTTCTACTTCCTGTGTTTGCTTATGTTCCCTGTCAACTGATTGCATGCTCTACCTCTTAACCCATAGTTGACTTTATTTAATCCTGTTAACAGAAAGCTCTTGGATTAAAGGTGTGTACTAGGGCTGAGTTGCACCACAACAAGAAACAGGTTTTTCCAGTTCACAATCTTGGGCTTCAAAATGTGATCAAATATCCTGCAGCACAGGAAGATCCTCATGAACTCAAGGACAGTCTGGGCCATAGAATAAAAACCTGTCTTAAAAAGAAAAAGATGGAGAAACACCACCCATGAGTGCAAAGTGGGAAGTACTGGCATATTTTTAAGAGCCTAATGTGAAATCTTGTTGTTTAAAGAAAATCACATGACCACATTCAGAGTCAATGGGAGGTGGCTATACACTCAGAAGGCAAAGGACACCGTCATAGAAAGGCCATGGACTGGGGCCATCAGTGTAACAAATCCCTTGGGCCCCTTCAGACATTTCCACTCAGTCCCACTGCTAGTTCACAGTGGCCAGGGATTAAATCCTAGCCCTTGATTTTATATCTTTAAGAGACACTGTCTAAGCCTAAAACTGGGGACAAGAGTCCAAACCTGTCCCAAAAGGAAGGACAATTAATTAACTGGGTAGAAATGTAATGCCATTATGAAAAATGTGTTGGGCAAATAGATACTTCATAGATCAGGGTCCGGGAGATGGCTGTGATGAAGTACCTCCAGGTATCATCTTCTAAAGTGTCTGTTATCACCCTGCATTCCAGCCAGAAGCAGACAAGAGAGAAAGAAGGAGGGATTCAGAGTTCCCCTTGGCAGTGTCACAAACTTCTGTTCATGTCCCCTTGGACAGAACATGATCTCATAGTTCCTCTTCCCTGCACAGAGCCTGGGAATGCAGTTCTTCGGCCATCTGTTACCACAAATGTCAGGGTCTTCTCCAAAGGAAGAAGGCAATGAGTGGTGGTGTCTAGATACTCCAGACTCTACTATTCAGGTAGAGAATGATAATGGCTTGGTGATTGACACCAGCTGAGAGAAGCCACACGAAGGCCTCAGAGTTGATAGCAGCTCATGGCTCTATTTAAGTAGCCATTGTAAGCATAACAAGAGATGAGTTGGTACTTGAAGAACAAACCTTGAAAGTCTGATGACAAACCTTACCAGTACAATTAAATGAAGGAAAAGCTTTGAGGCTCATGTGAACTGCCTCCATGTATTGGGCATGGAAGGGCAGTCAGGGAGATGGAACAGAAGAGAGAAAGACATGCACACTTCATGGTGTGTCTGTAGTGGGAGGTATTAGAAAAGAAGGCGTCCAGCTTGGCTCCCGGCTTAGCCACTAAGTTCTCGCACTAATGCTGGCTGCTGGTGGGCCACCTGCCCCATGTCCTCATCTCAGCAGGCTCTCCAATGGGGCCGGAGCTCCCGAGTTCCCTTTGTGGCCTCGCTAGCCCCACATCATGATTGTCCACTCCACCATAAGCTACCACACCCATCACCCAGTAAATCAAAACTCTAGATGCATAAAGTTAACCAATGGATTTCTATATATCAATAAAATCTCAATACACAAGATGCCCACACAATTTAGTAAGTTATCCCAATTTTCCTAACCCTTAGATTTCATATCTGCCTATTTACTTGAAGCCACTCGGGTCCATGTCCGATGCCATTTTGCCTTCCTCACTCCCCACATCTCTCCCTCTGCCTCCCTTAGCTCCACCTCCCTTTTCCCTTCCAATCACAGACCTCTTGCTGCAAATAGATTGGACTGGGAAATTTCTGCCACACATGTCCTTTAAGGCAGAGCCATGAGACTAATAATTATGCCTGTTCTGTGTCTTCATCCAGCTCCACCTCTGCATGTCTGTGTGGACCTCTGTATATTTCTGCATGGAGGTCCATGCAGGTCTGACTCTCTGGGCCTCAGTTCTAGTCATCCCAAAGGACCCGGGCTCTACTTTAGAATCAAGTGTTTCAATGGTCCAGGCAAAGCTTGTATTCTCAGCTCATTTAGGGCATGAGAGAGAGAGAAGGAGCAGAGTGGTTTAAGGAAACACTGAAGTGTGGCATGTGTTGGTGTGTTGGTGGTACAGTAGTGAGCATATCTGCCTTCCTAAGCCTGGTGTAGTCATCCAGTGTGCAGTGCTGGGGCAGTGTCTGCTCTCATAGCCCATGGACACATGATGTCTCCATCTCCTCCTTGGCTTGGTCCCTCTGACCAAGCAGGTGAGGTGACAGGGCCCTGAGCCAGCTTCCTTTGGCTCAGCATCCAAGCCTCTCTGAGCCTCAAACTATGCCTTTACAAGAGAAAACTTTATGAAATCTCAGTGAGTCTTCAAGTTCTGCCAATGACTCCCACTGTTTTCAGCTCTTCATAGTGCTAGAGTAGAAGGCAGAGAAATGGCCTCCGCCATCCCTCCTTATTAAAGTGGTCTGCTTCCTATTTCCTAGAGCCTGAATGGTAAAGGCATGGTGTGTCCATCAGACTTTGCACCCCTGTGACTAAAATCTAATACACACAGTATAGAGAAGGACAGTTTCAGAAGCTTCTGTTCATCACAGTAGGAGATGTGTCAAAGCAATTCACACCATGATGGACAGGAACAAGAGCTAAGCCTTTACAGGGAGTGGTCAGGACAAGAGACAGCTCCCAAAGGTACACTGGCAGGTGGCCCACTTTCTTCAGTCAGGCCCTGCCTTCCACACTTCCCTTGTCCCCATGGTCTTTTCACATTTTATATCCACCAATGGATTAAACTATTCATCATCTCAGAGCCCTCTTGATCTAATCCTCTCTGGAGACACACCCAGAGTGAGCTGGATTAATCCCCTAGGTGGCTATAAACTCCATTCTGCTGACAGTCAAAGTTGAAGGTGACACAGACAAAAGAATGAGGGTCATTGTTGGAATTGAGGCTGCCATTCAGCTGGATTTGGACTGAAAGAGTATCTGCCTAAGAGGAGACAGTACCATCACAAGGATCCTTCTAGAAAGTTGGACTGGGGGCAGAGGGAGAACCTGAGAGATGCCCCCACAAGAAGGACTTGGCTGAAGGAGACCATCTTTCAAGATGACAGGACGGGGCCATGCATGAGTCAGGCAACACAGGCTCCAATGGGAACTAGGAAGCATCAAGAAACTCACCCGTGTGCCTTGCCTATAACACTGAGCTCATAAGATTCATTTTGTAACTGACATGAAGTACTTCCAACTTGCCTTTGGCAATGGCTGGACCACAGGAAATAGTTCTGTTATTTTCCCAGGTGGAACAACCAAAGAAATAGTGTATCTCTAGAGCTTCCTGGCAGCTAAGAAAAAGAATGAGTTGATTTCTCCATGGACTCGCTCATCAATGTCCCAGGAAAATAAGAGACGGATCAAAGTCAAGTAGAGCCCTGAGTGCTGAAACCTGTTGTGGGCAAGGGTCCATTAGGAACCCTATGCCTTCACAGATCAGGGGAGTGTCACCCCGTGCCAAGAGCCACCGGAGAGAAGTCTTGGGTTCCAAAGAGGTGATAATGGGGAGCTTGAGAAAAGCTGCCTGGAGGAGGTGACAGATGATTGGATGGGGAGATGACTGACATGAGTCAGGTGAGGTTAGCTGTGGGCTGTGTACAGTTAGGTTGATACTAGGCATGTGAACATGCCTAGTGTCTGGGTCGAGCACACACAGACCAGGGAGGAGGCTAGTACTCTTGATCAAGCCTTCATGGCTGTCATTCATCAGGGGCAATCTTCTCATGTGTACCAGCTCAGAGTGGCCCTCCGGGAGCTTTCCGATTCTGTCTCTGTTGTGCTCATTCTAATTCCTTCTTGAGGACAGTCACATGTATACAGCTGTCACGTGACTGTCCAGGTCCCACAGGAACAGAGAGGTAGAACTGGAGTAGAACCCAGCTCTCTCTCGCACCCCAGCAGAAGCATGTGGCCATCATATTT